CAAATCCAAGAATTGCACACTGGAAGTAATTGGCAGAGATATGTTGAAAAATTCATGGTAAACACGAAAGCAAGTTTGAAACCAAACTTTTTTTTACTGTAAGGATTTGTGGTTGTGTATTACACAGTACGAAAGAAAAGACATACATCAACCATGTGTAGTTGTGCAGATGTGTATTTATAGGCCTGTTCTAAAGCTATGACTGCTTGGTGTTTAGTAAAGCAATGAGGGTTTGCACATAGGAGGAGTTAGAGTGAGGCACTGATGAATAAGTGTGGCATTTTGATCGGTTGTGTTTGAAAAAGGAAATCAAGATACTTCCTGTTAGATTTTTGTGTGTTATATAGAGAATTGTGTGTTGTGTTTTGCAAAAAGTGTTTTATGAAATTGAAAACTCAGTCAAAGGCCGAAAATTAGTGTATGGTTTTGCATATTTGCTGTGTGGTTCTGGTGTTTGAGTGTCAAGTTTCAGAAATTGTGTGATTTTGTGTGTAAGCAGTTGAAAAGAAAAAACTTCTGGCTGGAATCCATTCAGCATGTTCCTATAGCTCAAATAGTAGTGAATGATGCTAGCAACATTAAGGTTGTTGATTTGATTGACAGGTAGTCCATGAATATATAAAATAGATCTCTTGTAAACAATGCATGATGTTTTGGTTAGAAACGTGCTCTAAGAATTGCATATCAACAGCAAAACCACCCTAATCCCAATTGTAATGAGGTATAATGTGGAGGAACTTCTGCCCAAAGCAGCTTACAGTGCACTTATTTTAGGGACAATCCAACTGGAGTAACCCGAGTGCCTTACTCAAGGGAACAGTGCTGATAGCTCAAGGATTGCATCTTGCAGGAACCTTCAACCCTTTGTTGACAGCCCAGAACTGACCTCACTATAGTATTATGTTGTGGGACTGAGGTATGATTTCCTGGGTGTATCTAAATGCAGCATGTCAAGACAGGCCCGTGAACTCAACATGCAAGTGAAATTAAGTTATGCAACATAAGACTTGATTGTAATAACATGGTGATCTAATCAAGAAATTAAGCTTTAGCGTTAGTTCTGGCAGGTCACGTGAGTCAAGCTTGCATCAGCTGATTCTCAGCTGATCACATCTACCTATAGGAATACGACACCTATCGCGGCATTCCTATATAAGCTGTAATCAGTATTCAGCAGCTTTTAGCTTGCTTCGGAGCAAATTACCCTCCTCCATCCCCAGCTCCACCTTTCGCCACAGTCAGGACTTAGCTTTCTGATATTCCTTGCTAATCAGACTCCTTTATCTTGAATAAAGTGTTACACTTAAATATCATTGAGTACATTAATGATATCTGCATTGTTCTGTTCTGTTAACCCTGGGGGGGTTATTATTGCTGCTCTCCCTGCTCATTCATGACAGGCTGCATGGATGGGCAGGGAGGTTTTTTGCCCAGAACAGAACCATACCGCCAAACCAAACTTTATGCTAAGTATCTATCATTCTGACGATAGTGGTCCTGACAGAAATGGCATTATTGTTGGTACAGATCAGTGTAGTCATTCTGTTGGGACTGAGTCTGTGTGTGTTCTTGTGGGGCAATTAGCTAAACAACGCTGCCATGATTAGCTCCACAGTGATTAGTCACATATTTATGGCTCACCATTGACTGTGGTTCTGTGTCCAAATTCACACATTGGTATTTATTGCATTTGATGAAGAACTTGCTTTGTGGACATACTACATCTTCCATGTTGGCATTGTCATGTGATCTACAAAATCATCTGTCAATGTTCCATGGTATTTATGAATATGACAACCATGGCTTCATGTCTGGATACGCACTTCAGAATATTGGGAGATGTAGTTGGTTATCCAGGAGTTATTTTGTGTGTGTGTACTGTTTTTTTAATGCTGCCACTAGCTATGTTTCCATCACCCTGTTTTAATGCACATTTTGTATATTGAGTGTTTGGAAATGCCAAATTTCGAAATTCACAAAAAAGTTTACACACTCGAGGTGGTTTTTGTCTTGTGCGAAAAAGTGTTCATGCGAATAATGTGAGATGGCAATGCATTTGGCGAATAAATTCCTCCATGCTATCAAAAACATCATGTGACTTTGTGCAATGGGATGGCATAACCTGACAAACCAGCGGGCTGATCTCATTGCACAGCATCTGAAATGTTGCTGTGGTCATTCTGAAATGCCCGGGCAAAGACTGTCATCAAAGTATTTCTGTATAATTGCCTCCCAGAACTGATACACGACTGTGTTTCCGAACAGCAGGCATCCACCTCCGAAAGCAATGACCACATTTATTGTGTTTCGTCTGCTCGCTCTGAGGCACAAGTCATTTTTTTATATATGGAAATTATTATATTCAGTGGGTTCTCCTACTTTTCTTTGTGATATTTAGTATCAGTTTATCAGGAAGTGAAGATTTTGTTCTCTTTGACTCGTCAAATGGAAATGGTGCTTATTCACAAATGTTTTATGCGACATTCTAATAAAAAAGTTAAATTTGCAACTTTGGATGAAAACCTGGCTACTGACATGAATGGAAATTGTAACCTCTGGCTTTCTGTCCACCATCTCAGACTCTCTTTTGTTGGCGCTGGCTGCACACTGTCACATAGCATGAACGTGCTTTGAAAAACTCAAGTCCTAGGTAGTGGTACTTTCTGATCCTCTCGACTAATGGGGGAATATTTTTTTTCCTGTTTTGTGATCTAATACATGGTAAGGTTGCCGAATTTTTCGAATCCATAAGTGAGAATAAAGGAACTAATTTTCACCCTTTCATCTTGCTTCCGTCACATTTCCTCCTTCTTGTCTTCTCTCTTGCCGTCATGGACAGCTGCATTGGTACGATAAACAAGACCCTGCCGCCTCGGGCACAGCTGTGGGGGTGTAGTATGTACAAAAATGTATGTGCTGGGGGCGGGGATGGTGGACTGAACTTGTATGTGTTTGTAATACAATCTTACACTTTTTCCAAGACCTGAGACATGAGCGGATGGCAGCAGAGAGGTGTTAGAAAGGCAAGACTAACTCTGACATTGCCCAGCCTTTAGAAGTTGATCCCCAAGCCTCTCCTGGTTCCTCTCAGAGCTTCCATTGGCTCATTAACACAAATGAGGTTGAAGATTTGACTTGATCAGCTTGAGTCAACGTGCCAGCAAGTAGATGTCTACCCATCTTGCATACCACTGGTGAAATAAGTAATGTAGACTCCAGATGGTTGTGACTCATCTAGAACTGACATTGGCAATCATCAAATATATATATGAATGAAAGTGCGCCTTGATGTAATTCTTAATATATATTCAATAGAGGCCAGCTAGTAAGAGCTATGCAGGTAAACCTCAAGAGACACACTAGCGACTAATGCTAGAGACTGCCATCTTTTGCATTCCTGTTAGCGCCCACCTCCCATGCTGGCTGTCACTAGTTTGAGTGGAACAGGTTGCATTGGTGCCATGAACCAGATGGGGGTGAGTGTAATGGAGGCTAGCAGGTAAGAGCTGTGCTGGTAAAACATCACTCCCCTGGCCTCAAGAGGTGCATTAGCAACTGTCATTAGAGAGGCTACCTCCCATGCTGGCTGTCACTGGTTTGAGTGGAACCGCTTGCAATGGTGCCATGACCCAGATGGGGGTGAGTGTATTGGAGGCTGACGTGTACGAACTGTGCAGATACAATATCATTCCCCTGGCCTCAAGAGGTGCATTAGCAACTGTCATTCGAGAATGCTGTCTTTAGCATCTCTGTTTGTGCCCACCTCCCATCCTGGCTGTTACTGTTTTAAGTGGAACCAGTTGCATTGGTGCCATGACCCAGATGGGGGTGAGTGTAATGGAGGCTGACTTGTAAGAGCTCTGCAGGTAACAAATCATTCCCTTGGCCTCAAGAGGTGCACTAGCAACTGTTGCTAGAGGCTACTGTCTTTAGCATCCTTGTTAGTGCCCATCTCCCATGCTGGCTGTCACAGGTTCGAGTAGAACCTGTTGCACTGGTGCCAACACACCACATATTTTTGAAAAAAAAAAAAAAAAAAAAGCATTTCCTTCAAAATGTAGTAAAAACAAATTGAGATATCCTCCAAAATTAATCCACTAGGCCGGGGTTTCTTTGGGTTACTTTGACCCTCAATGTCCACAGTCCTGCAGGGTTTAGGTTACACACCTGTACAAGTTAATCAAGATATTCAGGATTACTAGAAAGTTACAGGCCAGGTGAACTTGATCAGGGCTGGAGCCAAATTCTGCAGGACAGTGGAGCTCAAGTTGCACTAGACATAGTCTATAGTGTTTAGGCTGTGTGTTTTGAGTTTGAGCTCTGTCAAGTTAATTCTTTATTGTCTATTTTTTTTTATCTTAAAATCACTTTTATACACCATCATTTTCGTTTCTATAACGTGTGAATATATCCTCTATCGTATTCTACAACAAAAACAATCAGAGCGCCTTGTTATCACTAGTTTTATTTTGATTTCCCGAGTCCGCTATTAGCATCGGCAGCGTGGTTGCCGCTAATCTCGTTTACATTGCTAATACTCTATTCACACACATTACCATTGTTTTACTCACTGTTGCTCGTTTTAAACAGTACACAGAATGGATTACAATTTGCAACTAGACGGGTGTACGGTTTCTTTCCTCTACAGTCAAAAATATGGGTCTTATATTAGATAGCAACTTGTCTTTTGAAAATCATATTTCCCATGTTACAAAAACAGAATTCTTCCATCTTAGAAACATTGCCAAGTTACGAAACATGATACCTGTTTCTGATGCAGAAAAGCTAGTTCATGCATTCATGACCTCTAGACAGGACTACTGTAATGCACTGCTAGGTGGTTGTCCTGCATCCTCAATAAACAAGCTACAGGTAGTCCAAAATGCAGTGGCTAGAGTCCTTACCAGGTCAAGAAAATATGATCATATTACCCCAATTTTACAGTCTCTGCACTGGCTACCTATTAAGTTCCGTATCAGTTACAAAATAGTATTACTTACCTACAAGGCCCTTAATGGTTTAGTGTAATGATGATTCAGTGACGTTGGGATCCATGTGCAGCTGAGTCCATGCAAAGGGTCGAGGCAGGTGGCAGACAGAGAATAGAACAAATCCAATAGGCAGACAAGGTCAAAGAGGCAGGCAGAGAACGATCAGGCGGGTATAAACAATCCAGGTAGGCAACAGGTAATCAAACAAGGTATAAATGCTCAGAAATGTCAGCAATAGCAAAAACAAGACTTTGCACAGAGGTTAGGGTAGGCCCTGATTAAATATTCAGGATAATGATCAGCACCTGTGCAGGTAATCAGTCTCCGGTACGGGGTGATGGGAAATGAAGTCCGCGAGAACAGTTAGTACTCCGGTGACGGTTGCCTCTGGTGGTGATCGGAGGGAGCCACAGAGGCTTGATTCGTGACATTTAAGTCCTAATTAGTCTTCTACCATGCTACAATCCATCACGCTCCCTAAGTTCACAAAACTATGGACTTTACCTAGGATAGCAAAGTCCACTAAAGGAGGTAGAGCTTTTTCGCATTTGGCTCCCAAAATCTGGAATAGCCTTCCTGATAACGTTTGAAGTTCAGACACACTCTCTCTGTTTAAATCTAGATTAAAGACACACCTCTTTGGCCAAGCATTCAAATAATGCATCTCATAATCTTGTACTGCAGTTATATCTGATCAAATGCACATTATTATTCTTTAGTTTGGGTTAAACAAATAAATTTTCCTTGCTTGGAACAGCAGCTATGCTAATTATGTCTCTATTTGTTTCTCTGTTTCTGCCACGGGATTGACATCCCGAGGTAACTAGGATTTACACAAGCTTCAGTCTGGATCTAGAACACCGGAGAAGAGATGATCCAAGCCCTCAGAGGACCTCAGATGATGCCAACCCTGAAACAACATACAGAACTACCACATTTTGATATAAGTTTGATTGCATCATATAATAATTGCTGTTAATAGTGTTCATCGTCTGTTTGATTACGTCTTTAATTGATTTTTCTGTACATTTCTGCTATATGTACATTAACTGACAGTCACCACTGATAAGCTTCTACTAAATATTGTAGAAACTTAATTTTCTGTAAAGTTGCTTTGCAACGATTTGTATCGTGAAAAGTGCTATACAAATAAACTTGAATTGAATTGAATTGTTTAAGGAAAGCAAACAGTAGATTTAGAATGCAAGTATTATTACAGGTATTTACATTTCAGTTATAAAAACAAATAAAACTCTTTCATTTTTAAGTTAAGAGTTTTGAGAGCCTGTCTGTCTCAGTCTACTCGTTTGGAGAGCAAATACGTAAGCAATTCAGTGTTCTGTCTTAAAATTTTGACTGTATCGGTCAGGTGGTGTGTACTCTCAACAAGCTTTTTAGCTTTTCCTCCATTCCTTAAGGTTCACCAGAAAAGGTCTTCGAGTTGTGCTGGTGTATGTCCTGGATTCCATTGAATCTGGGTGGAATATGAACTTTTAAAAAGCTTGATTTTTCCGGGTTTGATTTTACTATTGACCATGGGAAGGATACCATTTCTGTTTCCCATGCACACTCTTATATCAAATAACAGTCTGTTCTTGAAAACTCTCCCGTAGGAGGAATTTCATTGTCTGCAAACTACAGTGATTGTAGCAACAGAACTGCGCCAAACATCCCATTACAGTCTCTTTGGGGAGCTTCAAGTGGAAAAGAGACATCGTATAATCCCAAACTTCCATCTGAACTGTATTTAATAGCTCTTGAGGTCATATGTATTGATTTACAGGATCACTTGGCATTTCAATTTAACAACCTGCCCAGACCTTCATTCATTTTCATTCACATTCATCCCGCCAAAGAATAGAGATAAATAGACAGGCTATTGTATCTCGGATCTCCAACAATGGAGCACATCCTCTGCGGCTGGACCCCTAATGTGCAAATTCCTCCTACGCTTTCCCTGTTACAGCCCAGCCGAGCCCAAGTTTAACAGTGGCAACATAAATCATGAATTCATAAGAAAAGGCACAGGTGCATGACATTCCCGACCACAGAACAGGACAAAGTGTCGGAAGAGGAAATGAGGTAGTGGCTTGCTTGCTGATTGCGTGTGGGTGCGAGCACATGTGCATTCGTCTGCGAAATAGACAATTACAGCCCCAGGTAATAATACATCACCAAAATCTGTGCTATTTTCTGCAATATCATTGCGTTTTCTCTGGGGGAACAAGACTAGAGTCGTAAGTCATCAAAATCATGGTTATTTGAGTGCTTATGTGCCATGCAATTGATCAGGGGGTTTCCGTGACTAGGTAACACCCAAAGGACGCCCGTTTAAGGTTTGCATTACTTAATTCACGGAAACCAGGACACCGAACTGCTGAGTAATGAGAGGTCGAACATATTGAAAAAAGCTTGTGCCAGGGACTTTCCACCCAGAGTCGTAATGCATTTCTCAAAGAACTTGAGCTAGGCTGTAAAAGTGCAAATGTATGTAATTTTACCTCCGAGAGATTTTGTTTTACTTTCTCATTCTCGTTCTCTCTCTGGCTTTCTAGACAGCTGCAAAATATGATGCATTTATGCTGTAGTTTTATAACAGATGTTATTAAAAATTACCACATTTTTGGAAACAGGATAGAGTCACTGAATATATTTGGACACTTAAGCTATATGCATATGGTTTGAAATTCAATATAATATAACCAAAACTAAATTTAATCTTTTTAAAATTTTAACTAAGTTTTGTTTAAGAATGAAAATGAAATATATAAAAAAAATCTGAAAAAAAGACTCAAGCTGACCACATTTATAATGATATTTAGGATGCAGCTATATCCCAATAAAGTAAAAATGTGTGTTCTGAATATTTTTTAAATTAAATAACTTATTTTATTTATTTAAAAAATCTAAATGAAAAAGTATCCAAAATGGGTATTAAACACAATAAAATACTTAATAATAATAATAATAATCAAACATTTAAATAGATTTTAAATGGACTTGAAATGTGTGTCCTCAATATTTTTTACTAAATACATTTTATTAAATACTTCATAAAACAAATTTGTGTCCTAATTTTCCTAAATATACTAAACAAAATGCTTCATAGAAAAATAACAGTAAAAAGGTGTCCACTTTTAATTAAATAAGCTAAGTAAAATGCATAATAAATAAATAAAACAACATGTAATTTGTGTCTTGAACATTTTTTTATTAAATAATCCCAATAAAATTCTTAATAAAAAATGATACTATAAAAAATTGACCAAAATTAGTATTGTTTATGAAATACACAAAAACATTGCAATTGTACCTTGTGCCTAAATATCTTTTAATAACTAAATACCAGTGTTAATTTCATTGACAAATAATCTTCGTCAACAACATTTTTTTCACCGACGACAACGAGACGATAACGAACTAAAACTCTTTTTGAATGACAAAAACTATGACGTAAATCTATTGACATTTTCATCAATGAATAAAAACGAGACGAAAATGTTTAGGGAGGGACGATTTGGCAAGAGATTCATTCAGAACGAATCTGCTGAGTGGTTCGGAGGTTAGATGCGTACATATGAACCGGCGGGACATAAGCTAATGGTGCGTTCAAGTCATGTCGGATAGATCGTATTTACGAGTTGAACGCACATGAACGCCACCACAAAGTCGTTATTATGAGTGGGAAACTCAAAATTTTCTTTAAGGCCCGAGTTTCTGAGTTGGGGGCGTGTCAATGAGAAACATGGCGGAATCGATGAATGCAACGTCTGTAGTTGACGGTAAATGTTTGTTTAAATTGATAGTTTAGTGGGTTGTCAGTGACAAGTACTGTAGAACTGCATGTCTGACAGAGGGAGACAGAGAGATTGCCAAAGTAAAACATAAATCACAATACTTATAGGTATTAAGCAGTGATATTGTCAGGCTTTTTATTTACAAAAAATAAGCTTTTTGAATGTGGCAGGATTGTAATATAACAATTAATAACAAGTTTTTTATGCGATACAGGTTTAAGTGGCTTCATAAATTACTTTTTAAAAATATTAAAAACGCAAAGCACACCAGAGTTAACAGACCCTGTTGTATTTTCTTGTAATTTATTAAAAGAAGGTACACCGCCATCTTGTGCCGACTAAACTGACTTGAACGCACCTGACGTCGTAATTACGGCTTGTCAACTCATAAGTATGAACGTCCCAGGAGGACTTGAACGCAGCATAACATACACTTGCTGCACGTCACGTAAAACGTTAAAAATGTCAATATGTGGGAGTAAGAGAAGAGCAGACATATGGATAACTCTAATGACGCAAGAGAGAACTCAATTCGGTCTGGTTTTCTGAGCGCAGACACTGAAGCATTCACACACAGAAAGCGTGTCTCATGGCACACAAGTACTCTTTCGCATGGCATGAACGTAAAATTACACACACAATTATGTTGAATTGTCCGTTTTGACGAATATTCACGTAAACACAGTTGATTACGTCTTAAGTGAACGTAAACAGTAGGGAGAACATGTAGCAGTACATTGCATCCATTACAGCTGTGCATTGAGTTTTAAAGGGACAGCAGACTAATTGAGTTGCTATTGTCTGAGTCATTGATGTTAATCTGTCATTCACTTTAGTGAGTCTGTCAGTCTGTCACTTCCGGTGTGGGAACTCTGAAAACTTTTTTCACTCATCCCACTTTTGGTTCTCCTTATTATTGGAGTAACTTCCAACATGGAAACTACGTGTCTGCCATGTGAACTCAAGGCGCTTAATGGGCACCCGCGCCTTGACGTTGCGACGTACGAGCACTGTTAATTACTTGGCATCATCCGACGCCCGCACTATGTGCATTGTTCAACCCGCAGGATTTTCAATGTGTACCAGTCAACATCTACTAGTATTCTGTGTATCTGGTCAAAAAACAGAACTTTGAATAATCCGACTCGTCTACAGAGCGACCGTCGTTCACCGCGATCGCTTGTTTTCATAAATAGGACAAACTTCAATTACAACACAACTGGAAATAAAGGTGTACTACAAAATCAATTTGCTTTCCTCTACTGCCGCTCCATCTCGGATAAGGGTCCTTATCTAAATGAACTTACTACGGACAACAACCTCTAACCTGCTAGGTTAACAACATCTTAACCTGCTTACACTGAATGGATATCAATACTTGTCTAAACCTTGTTTACATGGTAAAGGGGGTGGTCTTGCGGTCATCTACCGGA